CCGCGCTTTCTTTTTAATCGTATAAATAGTGTTCATTATTTTATATTTTTTAAAATGAAATATTTTCTCTTTTTAGTGCATAATTATATTAAAGCATGTTAATAAAAGTTTTTATGCATTGCTTTATTTAAACAATAAACCGGGAGTGATCCCCCTAAACTTTCTCGAATATTCTTATATAAAATAACAGGGGATGGGAACTCGGGCTATAGACATGATTTTAAATCCATTTTAAATACTTAAAGTTTTAAAAATAGAATAAAATCTCATATACAAAAGAACTGCACACCAGGTGAACGCCAAATAAAAAAGTGCATAATAGTGCGCAATAAAAATTTACACTAGTTTTTTGAGAAATCGGAAGTAGCGTAAATTACTACTTCCGGTCAACGGAAATTACTCAAAATTTAACAGAAGGTAGAGAATTAGATATTTTACTTACATGTGAAATTTCATTTATCTATCTGAAATAGTACTCAAGTAATAGGCTTTTGAAAAATTCAAAGTAGGAAAAGTACCTCTTCCGGTTATCGGAAATCGCTCAAAAGTTGATACGGATCTACGATTTTGATAAAATAATTATATATGAAATTTCATCAACCTTGCTGTAACGGTACTCAAGTTATCCTGTTTACACACAGACAGACACACAGATAGACACACAGACATACAGACATACGGACAAGATTGCAAAATTATGTTTTTCCGTATCAGTGAGGTGTAAAACGTCGAGATTTGTAAAAATCTCGATTTTTTTTTTGCACGATTACAAGACTTTCTCAATACTTCGTATATACGACAAAGTAAAAACATAATTTTTAGATTTTTTTTAAAAAATTGGTCGACAAATCTAAACAAACATGCGCACCAACTGAACGCACCGCCCAGCCTTTGTCTTTACGTTTGCTCTCTCGAAGATGATAGGATGGCCTTGGTTGTGTTTACTTCCTGTCTAGGTTTAAGCAATGGCGTTTCAGTGTGTGTGATAGAGAAAAACACAGATCTAGTAAGTAACTAGTGTGATATATAAAAGGCCAATGTTATCTTACGAATTGCATTTTTTTTGTTAAAACCTAACAATATTGATCTAGATCTAGTCTAAATGCTATCCTTGTAAACTGACATAGACAAGCAAAAAAAAAATAACAAACATTCTTGCAAAGCCAAATAATTTCCTATAGATCTAGATCTAGATCTAGATATATCCTATTGTTTATATTAGATTTTAATTTAATAATGCAAATATAACGAAAAAATAGGTAACTCAACAAGATGGTTTTTGATTTGTTATATATTATGTATCAGCATATTTACAATACATTATATAACTTTAAAAAAATATAATAGTAACCTATATTCGAGAAAATACTATTAGGTTTGCGAACTCGCATGAGCGGTGACGTAAACGTTGTCTAGGATCTAAAATTAAATGTATATGTAGACGTAAACCTATTTTTAGATTTAGTCCTTGACCTTTGTTCTAGACATGGGTATAGATAGAAAAACATAGAATTAGACATGAATATGGACATGGACATTAGCATAGCAGTGGAGAATATCATAAGACGTAGACATACAATAGACGAAGACTAAGAAATATCTTTAGATAAAAATATACAGTTCAATTATAATCACAACCACATATCTAACGAAAGGAAACAAGGGCGGTTTAGACAGAGGTGTGTGTGTGTGGGGGGGGGGGGGGACTGTGAAGACACAAGCTTGCTATTTTAAACTTTGATGTTAAAAACTCAGTGAATGTAGCCGAGATTTTATGTTTCGAAAAACATTTTTGTGTCTTAAATAGAAATTGATCTATGCATTCAATTTTGAAACGAATTCAGAAACCATAAAGAAAAAAGAAATCGATGTATAAGAAGAAAATTTAAAAATTAATTTTGAGGTGGGGGGTGGGGGGGGGGGGGGGGGAGTTGGTGGGGTGGGGCGGTTTAAATCACTATTTTTACGTTATAGTATTATGTTTATCTCACATACTCCAACCATAATTGAATGATTCACTTCCGAAAAATACTAGAAGGAATGATATAACCAGTGGCGTCGCTAGGTCGAGTGTCACCCGGTGCGGCACTCATTGGTGTCACTCCCTTCCCCTCACAAACACACAAGAAACAAAGTGAATATATGTGTATATATATATATATATATATATATATATATATATATATATATATATATATATATATATATATATATATATCAAAGTTAAAAAAAGTAACAGTAAGTACCGTTACTTTTTAACTTTGAAAAAGTTATGTGTGGCTTAGCTAAAAAAAAATAAGTTGTGAAACCCTGCTCTAGAGGCTCTTCTTTTGACGGCCAGAAACAAAAGACAATTAATAAAAAAAAATCATTAAAATTTCAGCATCAATTTACAACTCTTCCTTTCAACAAGTCACCTAACGACATCTTAAGAATGCCACTCTCTGCCTTGGGATTAAGTTTGTTTTTAATCCTTACAGGTAAATTTAAAATAATTTATTGTCATTCTGTCTGTTAAGACTGAATAACATGTGTTATTTAAACGTTTTAATTTTAGATTTATGACCAAACCAAACCTCATCGCTAATTGAATTCCCTGAAAAATATACAAAATTAAATACTAATTAAATTTTTGTTAATTTTTTTTAAGTGGTTGTAGAAATTAACACAATTAATCTAAAGAGAAAAGAAATATCAACACACTATTACAAGGGGTGCATTACATTATCAGCTTTCAGTTATCGACTTTTCATTTCACATTCCCACCTCCCCATCACTGGTCCAATACAGATAGTTATGTATTATCATATATTACACGCTTCAAAAAACATGGAGTTACACATTACATCCTGCCAGGATTTTCTATGTGTCCCACAATCTCCAGGACGTCGTTGAATTTCCTATCACGCGTTGCCTATCTATCTCAGTCTTCTGCTACTTTTTAGTAACTCTGCAAACGTTAGCCTTGTGTGTGTTTTTACTTTCTCGTATCCGAAGTATAGAGGAAGTATTGTAATCGCGCAAAAAATCGAAATCGAGATTTTCACAAATCTTGACATTGTACACCTTCCTGAGTCAGAAAACGTAGTTTTTGCAATTGTGTCGGTATGTCCGTGTGTTTGTGGGGGGGGGGGGGGGTGTTTGTGTCTATGAACATGATAACTTGAGTACCGTTACAGCTAGGTTGATGAAATGATACATATATGTATTATATCAAATTTGTAGTTCTGTATCAATTTTTTCCTGCGATTTTCTATAAACGTAAGTGGAACTTACTTTAATTTTAGTTTTCAAAAGCCTATAACTTGAGTACGGTGTCAGATAAACAAACGAAATTTCAAAATTAAGTAAAACTTCTACTGTTATACATTCTGTCAAATTTTGAGTAAATTCTGTTGACCGGAAGTAGTAACCTACGCTATTTCCAACTTCTAAAAAAAACGCATGTGAATTTTCAAAAGTAATAACAATGTCCCGCACTATTATACACATGTTGTTTGCCGTTCGCTTGGATCACAATACTTTTTTTCTACTAGATGTTATTCTATTTTAACTTTCTCGTATACGAAGTATAAAGGAAGTATTGTAATCGTGCACAAAAATCACATGAAATTTTGTCAGTTTTCATCGCTTTACACCTCAGTACTTCACAATATACGGAATAGAGACGACTTATTTAAATTGGGCAAAAATAATAAATGCATATTTATAAAAGTCTCAGCGTTCTATGCATAATCGAGTCGGAAAAACTTGGCTTTGTAATTCTTTCCGTATGTCATTGTGTGTGTATGTGTGTGTCTGTGAACACGATAACTTGAGTACCGTAACAGCAAGATTGATGAAATTTCACTTTTTCGTAGAAGATTTAATTCTCTGTCTTCAATTCAATTTTGAGTAATTTCCGTTGACCGGAAGTAATAATTTACGCTATTTTTTATTTCTATAAAAAACACATGTGAATTTACAACGTACTAATAATATTGCGCACTATTATACACAGGTTGCTTGGCGTTCACTTGGTGCGCAATTCTTTTTTCTAAGAGTTTCTATTCTATTTTTAAAAGTTTAAGTAATTAAAATTGGATTTAAAATTATGTCTATATCCCGAGTTTCCATCCCCGGTAGTGTTATATAAGAATATTAGAGAAAGTTAAGGGGACATCACGCCCGCTTTGTTAAAAGTTGAACAAATTAAAAATGGATTGAAATCATGTCTATACCCTGAGATACCATTCCCCGAAGTGTTGTATAAGAATATTCGAGAAAGTTTAGGGGTTTATTCTGAATGCCTTCAATCCATTTTCATCTTCACCTACATCACCCCCCCCCCACACACCCCTTTCTTTATGTCACTAAATGTTGCATGACTGTCTTTGATATGCAATAGGATTTGCGCACCATCTAACTTTTGTTTGTGCTTAGAAGATGCAATTGCAAATTCTTAAACTTTGTCGCCCATAAACGTCGTAACAATCGTTGGGGAGGTGGGGGGGCGGATTAGGGGGTGTTTCAGATAGTTGTGACGATGAGTGACATTCGTGTCCATTTTAGAATTGTTTTCCGTTATAATTTTCATCAATATTCATTATTTTAAATCCTGTTTTTTTATTATAGGCATTCTTGTGTGGAGAGGGGGGGGGGGAGGAATTACATGTGTGTGTGGAGAGGGGGGGGGGGGGGGGGGAAATTACATGTGTGTGTGGAGAGGGAGGAGGTGACGTTGATGTGGTGGTAACCACGATCTGGGATATAACTAGTTAATCCACACACATTTCTTAGCGCAAGACATATCCAGCCAAGTACCCAAGACCGACGAGAACTCTCTAGAATTTCAAAGAGCAAATGGAATCAATGCTACTATAGACGGCTACAAACCCAAATGTCGAGGGTGTGTGAGGTTCGGAGTGGATGAACTCGAAGTCTATGGCACTTTCACTCTACCAAAGAACAAGTGGCACTTGATGACTCGAGATAAAGGGCTTCCTCAACCAGGCTTTACAGTCATTGTGTGCGCTTTTGATATGAGTTTCACTAATAATCACGACTGCAGAAACTACTCAGATAATAAATCTTGGACACAGGTAATTATTAGCCTATTTTTTCTTAATTAAATTTAAAAAAAAAAAACATGTCTTCATAAATTCACATAATTTTAATTAAAACTTTTTTCAGGTAACATATCATTGGACGAAATATCTTATGAGAAATAACAATAACGCTTGACAACATATCTCAGAAAATCAAATGAAAATGATTACGTATTTTAGGACAAAATAATGTTGGACATTAAATAGTAGAGTTCAAAATATGCCTTGCTAAATACATCACAAAAAAATATCGAGAACAAATTATTTTTTTTTCTATCCTAATACAAATGAGTGGCTACTGATTGAGTGGACTATGAGATTTTTAAGTTAAGTTATAGAATAATTTTGTCTTCCCTCATTCTCATTTATGACTCATTCCCATGATTATGACTCCTTTTCTATTTTTTTAAAAATAATACAGAATCCTGTGATTGATAAAGCAATAATTATTCTTAAGATAATCTACGCAGAAGATAAATTAAGATACACATTATCGTATATTTTCTTCCCTTTAGTATTGCAGGTATGGCAAAGACGTCTTTAAACCCAATGGCTGTAAAACATGGAACGAAATACCAAGATGGAAAGAGTGCTACTGTAGGGACACTGAACCAATGCAGTGGTACGCTACGATAGACCCAAGATATTTTGAAAAGACTACAATGATAATCCGAGCTATTTATGATGGATCGATGTGGGGATACCAAAGAAGGTTTCCATTTCAGACTCACGACACGATATATATCAAGGATCTTATTGGTACGGTATATAAATATACTATAAATAATGTGCAAAAAGGAATTGTATAATGTTTCGGTTAAGTTGAAAGTAATTATCATTTTTCATATTATATGTATATATATACTAGCCGTCCCGGCCATCTGTAAAGGACCATAACTTATGTGTTTAGTAATCAGCATTTACCCGGCATTGCCCACCCTAACCACAACCAACCAAAACACACAAAAAACGCAAACATAACACTAACACAAAACAAACACAAACGAAAACACAAAAACAAACGCAAAAAAAAACCCAACCACAAACACAAAGAAAACACAAACACTAACGCAAACAAAAAAGCAAACAAATCCAAACACAAACCCAACCACAACCAAACAAAACCAAAACACACAAAAAAACAACGCAACCATAACACAAATACAAACACAAACGAAAACAAAAAAGCAACCCCAAACACAACCACAAACACAAAGAAAACACAAACGCAAAGAAAAAAGCAAACGAAAACACAAACGCAAAGAAAAAAAGCAAACGAAAACAAACCCACATCCAAACGCAAACACAACCACAAAGATAAACTCAAAGTGTCCACAGTTTAGCCCGGGGCTTTAAATCGCACCATGATGACGTGCGGCGTAACCGCCTGATTCAACTTAGTAAACGACTATAGTACCCAACTTATTAATAGTCTTTTGAACTCACTTACGCGAACGTAGGTACCATAGCGGACACGGGAAGGCCCGGGGCGCCAAATAGCACCCTGTCGAAGTGCCGGAGGACGCCCAGATTTGATTCTTTTAAAGACTATAATAACCTTTCTTATCCATAGTCTATCTCACTGTTTAAAACGAAATTATGCACCATAGCGCTCACATGATAGCACAGGGCGCCAAATCGAACCGTGCAGGAGCGCCGGCGGACGCGCCTGTTTCAATTTAGTGAACAAAATTATAATACTCCAAGCTTATCCGTAATCGGAAATAAATAAACATATAGGATTTGTAGGACCTGCCTTATTAAAATGTTATTGATTTTAAAAAATAATCAGAAGAAAACATTACGTTCAGTGTATGGAATAAATAAAAGGCAGTATTAAAAATACCAATAACATTGCACGTAATCAATCCCCGCTAATTATGTAATTATTTTTTTCCTAACACCAAAACTAATAAAAAGTAAATTCTTTCTCCCCCCCGATTTAATGGTTTTTTAAAGGGAAGTAACTGTGTTTTCCAAATCAAGGGACGTTATGAGAACTAAAGGACAAAATGCAAATACATTTCAGACATAATTTTAGAAATTTTATAAACGTTGATACACTTTTTTAAAAATTTTATGTAATGTTCATATAATTGAAAATTATTATTCTAAGTATATAAAATGAAAATTGTTTTTAAGACTTTCAATAGTAATTTTTTAACTCATAAATTTAGACCATGAGCACTTTAATAGTCTAACACTTTAATCCATGGAAGTATCGTTTTTTTTTTTCTTATATTCCTTTGTAATCCTCGATTACAAACATTTTACAAACATACAAACATACAAAATTGAACTTTATATATTAGATATATATATATATATATATATATATATATATATATATATATATATATATATATATATATATATATATATATATATATATATATATTATAATTTCATGACTACTATACATTTTTTTCAATGAGTTGCATACGAATTCAGTAAGAAATTAAAAGCATAACACAAAACAAATGTAAAACCCATCACTAACCTTACCTATATTCAAAAGGAATACTGAGCCGATCTAAATGACGTGTTCTAATCTTATTTCAATTATATTGATTTGTCCAAAGCTAAACTAATCTGAACTTACATTACCTAACTTACTCTAACCTAAGTAAACCGTTAAGTTTTTTAAAAATTTCATTTGCTCGTAGGCATTATAAAGAAAAAATATTTTCTAAAATTACCTTAGTTTGTAATTCAACATTTTGACTGCGTTTTGTGCATGCACACAACCAATAAGTACTCAATATAAAGCGCTTTCTTTTAAAATAATCAATTTTTTACCTATTAAAAATTTTTAAATGCTGAAAAAAATTGAATAAAAAACGTTTTAATAACAAGTTTTTTTTTTGTACAAATGCACTAAAAAAGTGAAAGTGGATGCGTTTTTTTGTAAATATATAATAATACACTACTATATCAATGATTTTTAAAAAAAAAGCGTGGGCCTCATCCCAAAAAAAAGTAAAGGTATCCTATAGATAATTAAGTGACTCACGCTTTTTTATAGCTCTTTAAATAGTAGTGTATTATTATATATTTAAAGAAAATATTTTTTTTTCCTTTTAAGTGTATTATTATATAAAAGCTTGTTATTTAAACGTTTAAGTAATTTTTTAACATGAGATTTTTTTATCCTTTGTATAGTACACAACTAAGTACAATATAAAAGAAGATGTGATACACTCAATATTTAACGTAGTATAAATAAAATGCGCAAAAATTGCTTTACACTTAAACCACAAGTATACATCCCTAGACACAAACACCCTAACACAACCCCCAAGATACTAACGCCAAAACATACAATCGTAGACACAAACACACAAACACACACCCCTAGAGAAACCACCCAAATTAAACCCCTTAACACAAACACCCAAACACAATCCTCTAGACATGTGAAGTAAAATATTTTCACCATACAGATCGTGGACACATTGTTTTGGATTGGGAGAGATCTACTAACAGATCCAAAGCCTGGGCGTCGGGTGAGTTTTGTGTCTTTTTAAAAATCTAAGTTACTCTCACAGAAGATCAATATTAATATCAAATTAAAGCTACGACACACGTAATAATTTCGTGTAAAATCAAGTCTGAGATGTCTGTTGAGCTTGTGGGTGGTGGCATTTCAATTACTTGACTAAGTCGGTGTTACAAATCGACCTTGTGCACCATGTCCAAAAAAAGTTAAAGGATCAGTAGCTTTTACTTTACTAAACCAAGCAAGTCTTCTCGTGCAAGGGTATAGATGTAGATCGTGTTGCAACCTCGATCATGTAAATGTATTTTGCATCAACCATGTGACGTGGCCTAGATGTTCATAACGAAAGCGTGTAGGCACGGAGAGATTGGGTGTGAGAGTGGCCTCCCCTGACAAGTGTGTAAGCGGTGTGTGGTATCGCGAGCAGAGCGTAACCTGAGTTTGTGTGAAGACGGAGGAGTGTTTTTCTAGTTGAAGGATCTGTGTTTTCTCGGTTGTACTTGAAAGATTATATTTTATTGTGATTAATGAACGTTGGACTCTGTGTTTAATTGTGTTATGGCTAGTTCCCAACATTAAATAGCCCACTTACCATAACAAGTGAGGGCTTAAGTCCGGGATTTGAACACAACAAGATGTTTGACAAGTTTTTACCCCTAGACAAAAAGGAAAATATCGAGTATCAACAGCAGCGTGACGACCGACTAGAAACTTTCTAGTATTAACGGCATCGTTACAGCCGACTAGAAAACATCTAGTATTAACGGCATCGTTACAGCCGACTGGAAAGTGTCTAGTATCAACGGCAGCGTCACAACCGACTGGAAAATTTCTAGTATCAACGGCAGTGTCACAACCGACGGGAAAATTTCTAGTATTAACGGCATCGTTACAGCCGACTAGAAAATATCTAGTATCAACGGCAGCGTTACAGCCGACTAGAAAATGTCTCGTATCAACGGCAGCGTTACAGCCGACTAGAAAATATCTAGTATTAACGGCAGCAGTCATCGCCGACCGGAAAAGACTTAGTATCAACAGCCAAAAACTTGTGAACAGTGCTGCAGACATCATGGCCATAAATAATGAAATTGAAAATACAGTGATAAAACTAGGAGAGAAGTTGAGAGAACTTGCTAGCTACAAAGTGGACTACATTAGCATAGCAAGTAAGTTATCAAATTTTAGAGCTACAATATTAGCATCTCAGTCCTTGAGCACATCAGAAGCAAATCATTGCGTCGCCACCAACATGAAAGCTCTAGCTACTGTCCCACTTGCTGAAGACCTAGTCAACCAGACACGCAATCTAGGCAACAAGTCAACAGAGTGGAGAACTAGGTCAAGGGCAGCTGAGCAGAAGGTAACTTTAATCCAGAATCAAGTTAATAGTCTTTTCAAAGATATTAATGATACTTTAATCATAGTTAACTGTGATGTCAAGATAGCAGGATCGAAACAAAAATGTTTTGACTCCAGAGCCAGAGCTGAGCAGAAGAGCCAGAGCCAACGTCAGAGCCAGAGCCAGTGCCAGAGCCCGTGCGAGAGCCAGTGCCAGAGCCAAAACCAAAGCCAGAGCCAAAACCAGAGCCAGAGCCAAAACCAGAGCCAGAGCCAGAGCCGAAACCAGAGCCAGAGCCAAAACCAGAGCCAGAGCCGAAACCAAAGCCAAAGCCAATAAGAGATCCAGATCGACATCCAGAGCCAAAGACTGTACCAAAATTAGAGTGGTGTACGAACTTGTATTATCTGAACAGCTTCTAGTTTTCATTATGTCATCATTGACTAGGTTTATTTCAATATATCTCACTTCATAAAACGAAAGGAAAGTAACATTGTTCTGTTGTCTTGTGATTCAATTCAAATGCTTTATTAATGACAAATGTTTTTAAAAACATTGTTGACTTATAGACTAGACGTATAAAGCTATAAGTAGTTAATTCATGCGTACGTCCAACATTTTATTGTAGAGATATAATTTTTACCCGCCATCATTTATTTATAGGGAGATTTAAAGCATGTAAAAGGTCAGATAAATATTGTATTAAAATTTTTACTGTACGTGTTAAGTAGTTGTGCAGGATAGACCTTAGAAATGCTGTTTAATTTAAGGAAAAATAAGAAACCTCTTTTTTTTAGGGGGGAGGTGTGACGTGGCCTAGATGTTCATAACGAAAGCGTGTAGGCACGGAGAGATTGGGTGTGAGAGTGGCCTCCCCTGACAAGTGTGTAAGCGGTGTGTGGTATCGTCAGCAGAGCGTAACCTGAGTTTGTGTGAAGACGGAGGAGTGTTTTTAGTTGAAGGATCTGTGTTTTCTCGGTTGTACAAAAAAGATTATATTTAATTGTGATAAATGAACGTTCGACTCTGTTGTTAATTGTGTTATGGCTAGTTCCCAACATTAAATAGCCCACTGACCATAACAACCACTATTATAATTATGTGATTGTTCACGAAAAAATATCATATGTTTGTTTTTCTATACAGATCTTCTTCTGCAGTTGACCTTAGTGGTTCTGGCCCTCGGTATCGTGGATTTCTTCAAGTCTTAGACTGAGATTCTGCTGACGGATGTCCAGTAGGGTGTGGCCAGGATTAATATCTGAACCAGGCAACTCTATACACGCATCAAATAGAATAGGAACAATTTCTTGTTCAAATAAAGCATATGTTATTTTTTCCCACGTTTTCTTTAACTTGCTTTCGTCTCTGTTTGTTTGTCTTTCCAATCAAATCGTGCGATCGAAATTTCTGGCACTTCCCAGTTAGCTAGCGTGCTGAAATTTTCAGGGAAACTTTGTTTTGGATGACAATAGAATATTCAATTGTTATTATTACTAAATTGATCCATGGAAACATTTTATTGATCATTTTAGACCGCTATATAATTGTACAAAAAACGTGGGGGAAAAGGGACATAACCCAGTAACTGTAATTTGATGAAAAAAGGTTCGTTACTCTCCCTCTTTGCTTACTGAGTAGTGTTCACGCGGTGTTTGTGTACAAACAACCGTAACAACTGGTGGCCAGTATGGGGGAGACGATATGGTCGAGTGGTTGGGCACACGATTGCTATCCAACTCGACAAGGGTTCAAATCTATGTGTTCTAGTCAGTAACGTATTCACACAACGTGTTTTTTACGAGTTGTCTTTTTACGAGACTTTAATGCTATACAACTTTTACGAGATTTTAATGCAAACAAACAGACAAAGACTAAAAAGTAGAAAATAATAATCATTAAAAAAGTTTAAAAAAACCCACGTTTTCTGATTGAACTAAAAAGTAGAAAATAAATGCTATACATGACAATAATGCAAGCGATCACTCTACTATAAGCGATCAAAAACGTGGGGCGCCGTGATTTTCTTACAGTTTCTAATACTGTTGACTCTCTACAAGCTCCCTAATTAAAGTCAATAGTATTATCTAATCAATAGTAATATAACTTTTACTTCGGCGCCCCACGTTTTTGATCGCTTATAGTAGAGTGATCGCTTGCATTATTGTCATGTATAGCATTTATTTTCTACTTTTTAGTTCAATCAGAAAACGTGGGTTTTTTAAAACTTTTTAATGATTTTTATTCATATTACCAACAACACAATTAGAGTTGTTTAATACGACAGCAATCGCGTTTTGAATGATGTTTTTTGTTTTGTTTTTTACATACCGATAGATTTACCGAACTCATGCAATTATTTGTATTTTTTTTTTTTTTGCTTTTTTAAAGATTGGCATGCTTTGCACACAATTTCTTTTGTATTTAAAGTTTCTTTAAGTAGGGGCCTCATACATTAAGTTTCTTTAAGTTCGAATTGTTTGATATTTCTTATTAATAAATCCTTATTAAATAAAATTTTAATAAAGTTTGCTTATAATTTTTTTTTCTAAGTGTGACTGGTGGGCATATAACATTTAACAACAGTTGTCCTAGACTCTTTGCATTAAATTTTGCAGCTGTCAGATATGTTACTATACCAACATTTCCTTTGTAGCATCTGGTCTTATCATTAATGTTATTTTTTGTTATGTTCGTGGTCAAAATCTACATGATCAGAATCTAAATATATATAATTCTCTTATTTGAGACATTAGAAAACACCAAGCTGTAAGCGCGCTCCCTCCCAACCCCATCCCAACATGGTCTGGTGAGCTGTGGTTCACGCTAAATGTTTACAATCGTAGAGCCGGGTTTAGTGACGGCTCTTAGGGGCAGATAATTTAGTTTGAAAAGATTTTAAACTTAGGAGAGGTAACTAAGAGTAGTTTGCTTTCACCTTTCACGGGGGTGGGGTAGGGGTAGGGGTTAAGGAAAGGAGGGGGGGGGGGGGGGAATTATCGATTATCGTCCTTAGTGATTCGCCGCGGGTCGGCTCGTTATATATATATATATTTCCTGTTGATAATCTGATATAGATACATTCATTCCAGCGGGGTTCTCAGACGCCGAGACTCCTACTACTGTATCACGCCCTTTCCTTTGCTACTTCAGGAAATTTAGCAATGTCATACAGTCTTCTGATCAGAGGCGTAGCGACCCCTCCCGGCGCCCGGGGACAAACTTTCAATTTGCGCCCCCCCCCCCCTCGAACTTTTCATTTGCACCCCCCCCCTCAAACTTTCGATTTGCACCCCTCCCCCTCGAACTTTTCATTTGCACGCCCCCCTCAAACTTGCGATTTGCATCCCCCCCCCCTCGAACTTTTCATTTGCACGCCCCCCTCAAACTTTCGATTTGCACCCCCCCGTCGAACTTTTCATTTGCACCCCCCCCCCCCTCAAACTTTCGATTTTGCACCCCTCCCCCTCGAACTTTTCATTTGCACGCTCCCCTCAAACTTTCGATTTGCGCCCCCCCCCCCCCTCGAACTTTGCACCCCCCCCCCCCCCCCCCGAACTTTCGATTTGCACCCCTCCCCCTCGAACTTTTCATTTGCACGCCCCCCTCAAACTTTCTATTTGCACCCCCCCCCCCCGTCGAACTTTTCATTTGCACCCCCCACTCAAACTTTCAATTTGGCGCCCCCCTAAGGTCGGCGCCCGGGGACATATTTTGTCCCCCCCGCCCCCCCCCCATCGCTACACCTCTGGTTCTGATGTTCCAAGTTGTCTACTCTGGTTTTTTATTTAGTCGTCCGAAGATTAGTCGGCTTCCTATCTATCTAAGAGCTTTCATCAGCACACATCATAAGCTCTAGCAACTAGATATAAAGATACGTTTATGATATGTACATGTAGAGGTCCGGTGACATGTATAAATATAATGATGAGATAAACCTTCATAACAAATGGCGCTGCTGTTATATGTTTTATTTTTATATAACAATATTGGAAAACGATATTTTCTAACGAGAGCATGGTCATCTAGTTGAACGATCAAAATCAAAATATCGTGACATCAATTGTCGGATTTTCAACATCATTAAATACTATAATAAAGAGAGAACACACTGGATATTTGCATGATATTCAAAATCAAATATATGTCCCTCGTATTCCATTACAGAGTTGACGAGAAAACAATACATTTCTTGCTGTTTCATGTTTAATTAAGTTTAGTTTTGGTGATAACAATAACATTTTCAGGGTGTGTAATATTACTAACGGGATAAATGGCAGGGGGGGGATAGCTTCTGTTATGTTGGTGGGGTGAGATATATCCTGCGTGTTGTGGACGGGGGAGGGGAGGGCGAAGTATTGTCTTAGACCTTCTAACCCCTGGCCCAACACCCTTTTTTGTCCGGCTGTGATCAAAATAATTAGAGTCTTTAAAAAGTTTCTAAAAATGTAATTTAAAAAAAAAACAAGAAAAGAAAGTGTTTTTTTTAAAACAACTTACACTAATAAATGATATATTGTTAGATGGACGCAAACAATATTACTTACTATTAACCTCACCTTTTCCTCATTACTTCCCTTTTAAGAGATAAAGAGAGAGTACAATGGCGGAGTATAACGAAATTAAATAATTATTGTTGTTTCCCTTTCAGATTAAAATATACAAAACATTTTGCCTAGCTTCGCTAAGGCGCATTCTAAAATGTATATCCTAAATCTTAGCTTTTACGGTACCAATATAATACTACTAATACTAATTTTTTTTCTAATGTTGATTTAACAGAGAAATTTAACATTAAAATTGATATCTTTAAAAATCAAAGGAATTTGTTTTTATCCTTTCACTTACAACAAATATCTGATTAACTAAATGTCGGTGGTACAGCGTGGTGTGAGGAGAGAGGGGGTGGTAAGGGCGCATAAAGTATCAGAAAGTCTCAAGTTCAGATCCCGAATTCAAGTCAGTACCTACACCCAATGGAAAAAGCGAAGTATCAGTTTCGCAACCCTGACCATTCTCAACTTTGGGCCTTCCCATTTTTTTGCGCTAAGATTAAGAAAGTACGTTTTATTTTATTCATTTTTATTGTTTTCTTTTTTAAACATAATCTAAATTGTATTATATATGTAATTTATATAATCAGTTTATCTAGTCTACTTATTCGCTTTAATACTAAAGTTTCCATCCTCGGCTGGTGACGACAATAAAAATTTACAAAAGTAATAAGCCTACTGACAAGTACTTTTATTTATTTAAGATGGTTTACTTATACATAATAAAAAACGTCTAACTACAAATTATATATTCTACCCTTTCAAACAGCTATAAACATAGTAGTCAACCTTCGTTTGTTTCAAAGAAATAATCAATATCTATTTTGTAGTTTTATGCAGTTTTAAAGACATACTCATACAATGAGGTTAAAAATAAACATGAGAATGAAACCCTGTTATTCCGGTGACAACAGAGGCGTAGCCCGGGGGCGAACTTTCAATAACCATAATAATAGTTTCGATGTCTGTATATCTATCTGTGTATGTTTCTATGTATCTTTTGGAAACGCTTTTACTCTAGAGAAAACACAAGCAGAGTAAAAACATGGATAGTAATACGAAAAACGAAACGTGACGTCACATGTAACTGTTATGGTCAGTGGGCTATTTAATGTTGGGAACTAGCCATAACACAATTAAAAACAGAGTCCAACTTTCATTTATCACAATAAAATATAATCTTTCAAGTACAACCGAGAAAACACAGATCCTTCAACTAAAAACACTCCTCCTTCTTCACACAAACTCAGGTTACGCTCTGCTGACGATACCACACACCGCTTACACACTTGTCAGGGGAGGCCACTCTCACACCCAATCTCTCCGTGCCTACACGCTTTCGTTATGAATATCTAGGCCACGTCACAGTAACATATAGAAGAAAATTTTCTAAAGTCGGGAAATTGCACACAATAATATGGCGTCATTGATTCTCGAATAAACATTGAATGAAAAAGCCATGCATCATTTCGGGTAGTCGCTAAGCCCCTATCCCCGCCCCTTCTGTAGAACGTCTAATCCCCCCCCCCCCCCCCCGCCCCCCAAAAAAAATAAAAACAATAATTTATATAGAAAATAAATACTTTTGCCATTGTCGGCGTGCCCGCCCCGGAGAATTTTATTCACCCTGCAAAAATTAAAGTGCCCCACCCCCGGAAAAAGGTCTAAAAAACACTGCGTGAGTGAGATGTATCGGCCAAAGTAGAAAAAGGTCCATAATAAAGATGTAGGCTCTACTTTTAGTCTGTATGATCTGCAATTGCGACCAATGTTTCCTTCAGAA